ACATTTATCAATATGACGGATACGCGACGAGTAATTCCGAGAACTCGTCCGGGACGTGTGAGCGGGTGTAAGAAAAGCCGCAGTTGAGAAACCTGAAGAGCAAACTCAGCCAAAATGTTTTTTTAAAAATATAGCACAGGACATAACCATTCGGGCGCGGGGAGTCGAACCCCAGCCTGCTGCAGACTCAGAGTATCGCAAATGCCCAAGGAAAGCAGCCGTGCACCGTACACCACGCCCGAATCCTCTCCTACAAACCCACCAGTATTGGAGGGAGCGATTTGGACGCGGACGCACCTGTTTTATGCATCTTTCCAGAGTGCTTTGCAGCGTAGAAAGCTGCTGGGATGCGCATCGATAAATTGATGAATGAATGAGCATGTATGGGGTATAGGAAAGGGGAGAATCGCTGGACCGGTGGAGGCGTATTAAAAAAAAATATCGAACGAAACAGCTAGTGAGCATGGCAGAACTATTTTAGGTCAGTTCAGCCAGCCAGCCAGGCAGAACTGGCAATTGCCGGCCACGGCAGAACTGGCAGAACTAAAAAAGGAAATCACCCCGAGTTCCCATTGTTCATCTTCTGAGCCTCTCAGAAACAGTTGGCACACCTGAGTAAAAGGCTCCTGCATGTGTCCGAGTTTCTCAAGGCTTCGGGTCAAATTTGCCCTGAAAAATCGACGTAAACCTTCATCAAGATTTGTTTCTTCCGATGATGCAAACTGAACACCCAACCAGAACGTGAACTGAAAGCATGTGGTTGTCAAGCCGAATTTCAAAGCCTATATTTCACTCTGGAATTGGCTGATTTAAGACGAAAAGTCGCCGAATGCAGCACTGCCACCAGAGTTCTGCCAAGTTCTGCCCGACTTCATGGAGTTCGGCCGGCAATTGCCTGGCTGGCAGAACCTGGCTGGCAGAATGGCAGACTTTTGCCAACAACACTAGAAACAGCTATCGATTCGTGTGCGGGGAGTTGAACCCCAGCCTGCTGCAGACACAGAGTATCAGAAATGCCAAGGGAAGCAGCCGTGCGCCATACACCACACCCGATTCCTATCCGGTAAACTCAGCTGTATAAAAGGGAACAATTCGAGCCGTACTTGCATACGCAGCAGAATCATTCCGCCGAGTTATGACGAACACATCGTCCCCAAAGGGATGCGCGTCGAAAAATTGATGAAAGAATGTGAGTGTGTATATTAAGTAGGAAAGGCGAGAATTGAGGGGACTGCGGTGGACGCCTCAGTAAAAACATGCTTGTTCAGTAAACATTGACAAAAGATGGCCATATCAGAAGCGCAGATTCGGGCGCGGGGAGTCGAACCTCGGTCTGCTGCGGACTCAGTACAACAGAGAGGTGAAGGAAGGCAGCCGTGCGCCGTACACCACGCCCGATTCTTATCCCACCTATTCACGTATATGCGAGGCAGCGATTTAGACGCAGACTCGCTTACATTGATCAATATGACGAATGCAGGTCGAGTGAGTTCGAGGTCTGATCCGAGACGTGTGCGTGTCTGCAAGAGAGGCCACAGTTGAGACACCTGACGAGTACAGTAAACGTCAGCAACAAAAAGAAACGTTTGATGGGACAACACAAGTATTCGGGCGCGGGGAGTCGAACCCCGTCCATCCGCCTGGATTCAATTTACTCCCGATTATCAGCGGCCGTGCGCCGTACACCACACTCGATTCCTATCCTGCAGACCCACCTGTATGAGAGGAAGCGATTTGGACGCGGACTCACCTGTTCTATGCATCTTTCCACAGTACTTGCCAACAAAGCTGCGGGGATGCGCGTCGAAAAAAAAAAAAACTGATGAAAGAATGTGCATGTATGAGTGGGTGGGTATACGAAGGCGAGAATCAAGGGACCTGCGGTGGAGGTGGCAATAAAAAAATCTTCACGGAAATCTCTCATTCGGTAGTCTCGTACACAGCCCCTCATGACATCCCAATTCGGGAACCCTGTCATGAGGGTCTGGGCTGTAACCAGCCAAACAACCATACATGGAGCTCTCAAACGAGGACCCCGGCTTTTTCGCCACTCAAGAGACCAGCGTTCACAGCCACCGACCAGGACCCCCAGAACTTTGCGGCCTTCAGTAGATAGAAATGGGGTGACAGATAAATTTGAAAATATTCAAAGGAGTTCTAATGGTATATACCTCAACAATCTACTCCAAGGTTTTGTGCAAAATGGTTGATAATTGGTCGAACGAGACCGCAAAAAATGGCAAAATCAAGAGCTCCATGTACGGTTGTTTGGCTGGTTACAGCCCAGACCCTCATGACAGGGTTCCCGAATTGGGATGTCATGAGGGGCTGTGTACGAGACTACTCATTCGGGCGCGGGGAGTCGAACCCCGTCCTACCTTACAGTCTCAAATCTTTGGGTCATGACAAGCGGTTGTGCGCCGTGCACCACACCCGATTCATATCCTGGAGACTCAGGTTTATGAGAGGAAGCGATTGGAATGCGAACTCATTCACATTTATCAATATGACGAATGCACCACGATCAATTTCGAGAACTCGTCCGAAACGTGTGAGCGCATGGAAGAAAGGCTGCAGTTGAGAAACCTGAAGAGCAAACTCAGCCAAAACGTTTTTTAAAAAAAAATATAGCGCAGGACACAACCATTCGGGCGCGGGGAGTCGAACCCCAGTCTGCTGCTGACAACTCCTTGCCAATAACCGGAAGCAGCCGTGCGCCGTACACTACGCCCGATCATCAGCAAAACAGAATGCGTCTGGCTGGTCTGGCAGCAGACCAACCAAGCGCGCCATACGGCCAGAATTGCATCTGGGAGCATAATGACACGTCTATTGCCAGAATCAGTTCTGGCGCTAGAAACTGATTGTGGGTAGTATTATGAGAGCCATGTATTCCTACTGTACTACACTGTAGAGGCTATATTATCATACACGCACGACGAAGACGGTCGTGAGTCGGTCACAAGCCAAGACCTGAGTCGTCATTAATGGTGGCGATAAGTGACGACGCAGGAAACATACCTGTATCTCAATGCGCACTGAGACCCATCGAGGGACGCAGACGAAGGAAAGCGGATGGCGGGCATTGAGAACCGCTAAGTACTAAAACAGTCAGTATGCGTACATTTGCAAAACGGGCAAACACGTACCATCAAAATGTCACCTTCCCGCCCTTGTACACGGCCCACGGCCACCTCCACGGCAAGTCATGATACCCATTGATCGGTCTGGGTGGTTGTTGCGCCAGATCTAGACCCGGAAAAGAGCGGAAAGGAAAGAGCGAGGCGCTTGAAGATTTGAGGAAGACAAGACCCGTGAATGGCTGATAAGCTGAGCAGCACACAGGGCAGAGATTCATAAGGGCCAGGAAGACGTCAGGACAGACAGTTTGAGGGCTTGATAAAGCGAGACGATGATTTCTTCTTGAGTGCTGTGAAGCGCTTGGGGCGTGGCCGCGTGAAGATGGCTTCGAGGATCTGGCTTGAGGGTTTGGGCCTTGAGAGTCTTGAGGACTTCATTTGGTAGGACTTGAGCTGTAGCGAGAGAGTGCAATGTATGACTATGTGGCGGAAACAAGGGAGGGCAAGTGGGGGTAGAAAGAGAGATGCGTCGCATCGCCATCAACCAACATCACGTCAAATGGCGTGATTGATCGGAGTTTCAAATGACTGAACAGAAAGTCCCCGAACCCATTCGATGAGACTAACACTTCACCTCTGTAACCTTATGTCGCAATGGGTATTTTACGTGTTAGGTCAATAACCCGCAAGTGCCAGCACATCAACATGCATTTGAATTTTTTGGCCTTCTGGCGGATGAATCGCCATACTGCCAGACGTTGCCAGACGCCGCCACACCGTCGCCAGACAGCCAGACGAATTCTGTTTTCCTGATGATTCCTCTCCTATAAACCCACCTGTATGAGACGGAGCGATTTGGACGCGGACGCACCTGTACCTGCACAAGACACGCATCTTTCCAGAGTGTTTGGCAACGCATCATCCGCCGAGGGATACACTGTTACTGTCTCCGACTCATACACATCGAAAAATTGATGAAAGAATGTGAGTGTGTGATAGTAAGTAGGAAAGGCGGGAATCGAGGGACCTGTGGTGGAGGCGTCAATAAAAAAAAAAAAATTCAACGACACAACTAATTCGGGCGCGGGGAGTCGAACCCCGTCCTATCGCCTACAGCCTCAAATCTTTGGGTCATGAAAAGCGGTTGTGCGCCGTGCACCACGCCCGATTCCTCTCCTATAAACTCAGCTGTATAACAGGAAACGATTCGAGCCGTACCTGTATACGAACCCAAACCATACCAACGAATCGCACGAATCGCGAGGAACCCATGGCCATCTTCCGCGAAGAAATGCACATCCCGGAATTGACGAAAGGATGTGAGTGTGTATTGTAAAAATATGCTTGTTCAGTGAGCGTTGAAAAAACATTTCAATAGCAAGCAAATTCGGGCGCGGGGAGTCGAACCCCGTCCTACCGCCTACCCAGTACAAGCCAAACTTTGGGACATGAAAAGCGGCCGTGCGCCGTACACCACACCCGATTCCTGTCCCATATAACTCACCTGTCTGAAAGGGAGCGATTTGGATGCGGACTAACCTGTTCCATGCATCGTTCCAGAGTGCTTGGCACCGTGCAAAGCAGCGGGGATACGTGTCGAAAAGGTGATGAAAAAACGTGAGTGTGTATAGTAGGAATAAGAGACCTGCGGTAGACGCGCCCATAAAAAAACTTATCAATGAAACAGTGCATTCGGGCGTGGGGAGTCGAACCCCGGGCTGCTGCGGACTCCGACCAACAGAGATGCTAAGGAAGGCAGCCGTGCGCCGCGCACCACGCCCGATTCCGATCCTCTATAATAAACTCTACTTTATGAGAGGTGACAATTCGAGCCGTACCTGCACCCAAGTCCAAACCCAAATCATCCAAAGAATTGTAAGGAAAGCGTCACAATAAAAAGAAACTCGACACATCCACTATTTCGGGCGCGGGGAGTCGAACCCCGTCCTACCGCCTAACGTGAGGTTTGCGTACGAACATGAAGAGCGGTCGTGCGCCGTACACCACGCCCGATACTTATTCTATAAACTCGGTTTTATGAGTGGAAACAATTTAACCACGCCCTGTTCGTGGATCTATCCACCGAGTTACGAGGAACTCGCGTCATCCGCCAGAGATGCGCGTCGAAAAGCTGATGGCATGGGTATGTACTATAGGAAGGGGAGAACCAAGGGGGTGCGCTGGATACGCACTCGGAGGCGGAGGCGGTGGACACTTGGATGGATGAAGACTCGGAGGTGCATCGTACCATCCGGACCTCGGGACTCAGAAGTCGAAACGCGGACCTCGGACCTCGGGACTCAAAACTCGGACCTCAGAACTCGGGACTCAGATCTCAGAACTCACTCGGATCGGGCTCGGGATTCGCATCGGAGTCGGAGTCGGGGGACGGACCTGGATCCGGATTCAGAGTTTCGCAGGACGCAGGTCAGGAACGAACGGCCTTCGGATCCGTGCCCGTGCCCGTAGATTTATATCTTTCGACGCAGAAGCAAGTTGAGAATCAGAAGACTGGGTTCTTGCGAGGATGGCGGGGACGGGATATTAAATGGATGGATGGATGGATGGATGGTGGCGGGATGTGGGCATGGGGGCATGGGGGCATGTGAACATGAAAGAAGATGAAGATGAAGACGAACAGAATTTCGCTCGGAGGGTCGGGACGAGGACGAAAGAAAGGAAGTCCGGAAGCTACCAGTATTAGAATCCTGAGAGATCAGAACCATGTCGAAGGACGCGCCTCACGCGCGTCTATGAATTGGCTAGACCTTGCATTCCTATGTACATTCCTATATACATAAGCATCTCGCCCCCGACCCGACCCTACACATAGCGTTGACCGACGTGCCCCTGAGTGAACGACGACGTCGAGAAAGCGTCACCTCGCTTCAACGAGTTGCTGAGGAAGCTCGGCAGGCGGTGATGGCGGGCATAGATGCGATCGGGGGATCAGGTGCTCCGCGGCAATCAGCGGCAGACGGCGATCACGTATGCATGGACTGCAAGCGCCGTCCAAAATCTTATTTCTATTTCTACTGATACATGCATCCCATCCAAGTCGATGCCCGCAGTGCGACAGACACTGGCAGGGTGGATGGTGCGCGGGCGGGAGAGCGGGGCCGCACCAGCAGCGGACTCTTGACGACCTCACATTAACGACAGACGACAAACGACAGCGACGCATGGAAGCACACTTGTGAGGTCACCTGTGCGCGCCCCACGCGCACCCCGCACATCAGATCACCCGTAATACGAAATTCGGGGCAGAAGCGGGGCAAGAAGCGGGAGAAGCACGCGTGATAAAAGACCCGCGCTCGCTCCACACCGCCAACGAATCTCCCTCCGGAGTTTCTCCCCACTCTCTCTTTCAAATCTTCGGCTCTCTTCGCCGTTTGCGTCTCCGCTGGCAAGCTAATAGTAGCAGCAGCAGCAGCCAGCGCACCAACACTACACTCGTTTACTTTACCACCCACGATGCGCTCGTCCTTCGCGTCGCTCCTCCTCCTCGCGGTCCTCCCCGCCCTCCGCGCGGACGTCATCACGGGCATCCCCGACGCCGCGCCCCCAGGCTTCGAAGAATGGGAGTCCCCCATCGTCCTCCCCGCCCCGCCCGTCTCCGGCACCGCCTCCTGGGCCGCCTCCGTCGCCAAAGCCCGCGCCTTCACCGCCAAGCTCACCCTCGACGAAAAAATCAACGTCACCACCGGCGTCGACGTCCTCGGCCGCTGCGTCGGCAACACCGGCACCATCCCGCGCCTGGGCTGGGGGGGTTTGTGTTTGGAGGACAGCCCGCTGGGGGTGCGGTTCGCGGACTTTGTGAGCGCGTTCCCGGCGGGGATCAGCGTGTCGGCGACGTGGGATTTGGGGTTGATTGAGCAGAGGGGCGCGGCGATGGGCGCGGAGCATAAGGGCAAGGGCGTGAATGTTGCGTTGGGGCCGATGACGAATATGGGTGCGTGCGCTTTCTTTCATCTATTCCTTTATCCCCTTGCCGCATACTAATGATTACGCACTTAGGCCGCGTCGCAGCAGGCGGACGCAACTGGGAAGGCTTCGGCGCAGACCCCTTCCTCTCCGGCGCCGCCACCGCCGCCACCGTCGAGGGGTACCAGGCCTCCGGCGTCATCGCCACTGTGAAACACTAGTGCGTGTTATTCCTTGTTCCTTGCGTTGCGTCTCTCGCCCTATCTTGCATTCCTTTCCTTGTATTATTCCTTTCCGTCTTTTCCTTCCCTTTGCCTTTCCTTCCCTTCTTTCATTCGTTTCCCATCATCGCCGGTTCCTCGCCATCCCTTTCCTACCTTCCTTCCTTCATGCATTCATTCGGCGCCGTATCCCCGCTATTCCTCCGCCCTTCCTCCCCTTTCCTTCATTTCATTTCATTTGCGGGGCGCTTCTTCATCTTCTTTACGGCGCCGGATTAGCGCCGCAGGCAGGCAGTCCATCCCGCCGGCGGCAATTCGCTTTAATTATTTCATTACGCGCCTTCCTTCCTTCCAGCGCGCCCGCCGTCCCTCTCTTCCTTCCTCATCTCGTTCTCCCCCGTCCCTCCCACTCCTCTCCCCCGTCCCTCCTCTTCCCTCCTCCCGCTCTGGGTCCGCGCCGCAGGCCCCCTTCCCTCCAGTCCCTCCCATCTCCTCCCTCCCTCCCCCCCCTCCCCTCCCACTTCTCTTAAATCCCCACCACGATTTCACTGACGCTCAACGCAGCATCGGCAACGAACAAGAACACTTCCGCGGCGGCTCCGAGTCTTCTCAAATCTACTCCAGCAACATCGACGACAGGACGCTGCACGAGGTGTACGCGTGGCCGTTCGCGGAGGCGGTCAAGGCGGGGGTGGGGGCTGTTATGTGCGTGTTTTCTCTTTGGTTGTGGTTGTGGAGTTTTCGAATTCTCCTTTTTTTCTTTCGTTTCCTCCTTTTTTTGGTTGGGTGCGTGGACGTTTGGAGGAGGGGGAGTGGACGTTTTGGGACTTTTGGAGGAGGCGTGAGCGGGCGTGGCGTGGCGTTGCACGAGAGCGAGAGGGAGATCGGGGAGTGGACGTTTGGAGGACGAGGATCAGGTTTCACGCGCGTTATTCGTGTGTTGCCTTTCCTGCGGGGATTCCTTCGGTGCGGTACTGCGCATTGTGCTTCCTGCGTTCGTTTCGTTCTTGTGCGCGTCGTTCCGTGTCTTCACGCGTCTTGGCGCCTTTACGCGTTTTAAGCGGCTTGACAAGTTTATGCGCGTTTCTCGGGGTTTCGGGTTTTCCGCGTTTTGCCCGGCTTGTTTCTTTTGTTTTCTTGGGGGGGCGTGTCTTTGCTTTTTCGTGTTTTGCACGTTTTTGCACGTTTTACGCGTTTTACGCGTTGTTACGCGTCTTTCCGCGTTTTACGCGTCTTTCCATGTCCTTGCGCGTCTTTGTGGCGTGGCGCGTTCTCGAGGATTCGGCGTTTCGGGTTTCGGGATTTCGCAGTCGGCATCGCGTCCCGACGTCTGGCTTTTCCTTTCGCGTAGCATTCGCCAGCGTGTATGCGTCCGGGTCCTCGGGATTTGGATTTGTATTGTATTTCCTCCCCGCGTGGGCGTTTCTGCGTCTTTTCCGTTCCGCTTTTTCTGCGTTCCCATCTCTGCTGCGCGTTTGCGTTACCTCCCTCCCTCCCCTCCTCTGCTCTTTATCCCCGCCCTTGTTCTCCCCTCTCTTCTCTGTTCTCCCCCAATCGCCCGCTAACGCTCCCCTCCCCCCTCCCTTTACTCACCCTTTATCCCCACGTTCGGCTCACTCATATTCATTCGTGCGCAGGTGCTCCTACAACAAGATCAACCAGACCCAGGCGTGCCAGAACAGCAAGCTCCTCAACGGCGTGCTGAAGGAGGAGTTGGGGTTCCAGGGTGCGCTGTCTCTCTTCCGTCATTTCTTTCATCTCCGATTTCTCGATTTCCCCTCCGCGTTTACCTGTATTCCTTCCACGCACGCGGTTTGGACGCGGACTCGTACCACCTTGCGCGTTCGTTTCGTACGTCGTACGTCGGCATTGGCATTGGCGTCGAACGCGGCGCGCACTGCAAGCGCGTCCCTTCCGATGCGTTCGCGTTCGCGTCCGCGTGCCGCCGCACCCGGAGCGCCATGTATTCCACTAAATTCGCTTCCCTGTCCCCTGTCATGTCTTCTCCCGCCGGGCCTACACTTCTTCGCATCCGGTCTTCGCATTCCCCCCAACCCTATCCTGCATCCGGCTCCCCTTCCCCTTCCCTTCCTCTCTTTACATAACCCACCCCACCCCATCCCATCCGCCTTTCTCACCCGCCGCTCGCCCTTCTTTTCTTTCGCCATTCCGTCTCTCCGCGTTTTCCCACTTTCTACTTCCTACTTCCTACTTCATATCTGACATTCTATTCTACTCTTCGTGTTTGATATTCCGCGACCGCCGACCAACCAACCAACTAACCCCCATGCCCCTTCTTTCTGTTGTGCAGGCTTCATCATGTCCGACTGGGCCGCGATGATCAACGGCGTGCAGCCCGCGCTCGCCGGCTTGGATATGAATATGCCTGGATTTGTGGGATATGTGCGTGTTTCTCTATTCGTATTCGTATTCCTTCTCTTTCTTTCCGTTCTTTTTTTGGACTGGAGAGTCTTCGAATTTCTCGAGGCTTCGGGCATTCGAGCGTTCGAGTGTTCGTTGGCACTTCGTCGAGGAGTGCCTTGTACTCTTCATACTTCGCAGGACTCACGCAGCAGGCCTTTTCCGCGCGTGCTGCGTCGCCGCGGTTCGCCGGCCCGCGTTTGGTTCAACTCCCAAGTCCGACGAGTCGGAGTTCGTTCGACTCGAATTCCGATCCGCGCCGAACTCTTTCTTCCCTCCCTCCCTCTTTCCCCTTCCACCCTTCCCCAAACTAATCCCTCCCCCCAGGGCGTCGGCCCCCAAAACGACCCCGACCCAGCGACCGCGACCAACTCGTGGTGGGGCGCTGCATTGGGCGAGATGGTCAACAACGGGAGCGTGCCGGAGGCAAGGGTTGATGATATGGTG